AAGGTCATTATGAATCACCAATGCCCAGGTGAGAAGGTCATTATGAATCATTAATGCCCTGGTGAGAAGGTTATTATGAATCCCTAATGCCCTGGTTAGAAGGTCATTATGAATCACTAATGCCAAGGTGAGAAGGTTATTATGAATCACTAATGCCCTGGTTAGCAGGTTATTATGAATCACTAATGCCCAGGTGAGAAGCTCATTATGAATCATTAATCCTGAGGTTGGGTGAACATAATGAATTACTAATGCCCTGGTGAAAAACCCATTATAAATTACTAATGCCCTGAGAAGAGAGGCCATCACAATCACTAATGCCTGCCTGGGTGGACATTGTGAATTACTGATGCCAATGTGTGGTGACATTATAAATCATGGGTCTTCTGTTGGGAGTGATCATTATGAATTACCGGTAACCTTGGACCATATTTTGAGCTAGGGTTACCACTATAAATCACTGGTTCACAGCTGGGTAAGGCAGAAAATCAGTCCTGATGAGACATTTTCAATAACCCAATTATGTTTTTATTGTGCAGCTTGTGAAGAGTATCATTCAGATGGTACAAGTGATGAGTATGGTTATAAGTTTGTCCCAACACCGGTTACAAATACCAGAGTTACCTTTGATGTAATGGCTGGCAGTGATGTTCATGTTTCACTCTCTGAGTTCCCGGAATACTCTGGTGAAGATCAGCCCATGTACCAAATAGTGATTGGTGGGTGGAGCAATTCTCGGTCTGTAATCAGACTATGCACTGCTTGTGATCATAAAGCCGACGAGCAAACTCCTGGAATATTATCTGCAACAGAGTGGAGAGGATTCTGGATTATATTCACGAATGGTTTTATCAGAGTTGGACGGCAAGGAGAGGGCGCTTTTATGGAGTGGCAGGATCCTAACCCTTTGCCTGTTTATTACGTGGGATATAGCACAGGATATGGTCACACTGGAGAATTCCGTTTCTGTACTGCATATTCAGGTAAATATATCTTAAGTTCTTATCATTTTGGTTCTGTGTTACATGGAGAAAAATTTTGACAAAAAAAGCTTCATTGGAATAATTACATATTTTTTATCTCTCACCATATGTTACAGCGTATCGTAATTTTGCTGTACTTTATGGAATATTTTCATCCTACCATATTAGAAAATGTGAATTCCAAATATGGAATGATTACTCATTAAGTGTTCTCTAACAATAAAAGCAAACATGGCTGCCACCATAGTTTGACCGGACTACACACAAAGAAGTTCGCTGATTCTGTTCTAAACTTTTTGGATTTCGGCATTCCCATGGTGTATCCTTAATACATAATATAATAATAAGAGTAATATGGGGATACCAAAATATATGCACCGTACGCATCAACCCTTGTATTCTGAATTTTTAATTTGTTTTCTTCTGTCTTTCTTTCTGAAGACACATTCTCTGTTCAAGTGTTAAGATTAGGAAATCTTTTGGCCTGAAAATCAGCATCACAAAGCGTGTGATTTTCGACCATTGTGTGTAAATAAATGCCATAAATTTTATGGTAATGATAACGTATAGTATTCAGTACTTGGTATAGTACTTGGTTTAATAATATTTTTGTGGAATCCATTTGTTTACAATAAATTTCATTCATCTGTTTTGATGGTATGATATATATTAGATCATGTTGTTTTTAGTGAGGTGACGATCCTCGGAAAAAACAAAATTGTAGTTTAGTGACAAGGGAAATTTATATTGTAATTTATAACCATATACACTGTTTATTTGGGGAACAAACATACTATTTGATCTTACTCTACTGGATTATTATTTACGAAGGCAGAACAAATTGAGAAATTGTCTATGGCTTCCATAGACTTGCGATGCTTACTTAGTGGCGTGCCAATACATGCTTTTTCTGTTAACTTTCAGAGAATGACTCAATATGGATAGGTTTGAATGACTTGCGTCATCAAAGGTTGTTTGAATGGAGTGACTTAAGTCAAGTTACATACACAAATTGGAATAATGGTGAACCCAATAATTGGAATGGCCGAGATGAACAGTGTGTTAATATGCTTGTTGACGTAAGTCAGAACATTAACCTTAATATTTGAATGCAACTTGCTGTCTAATTAGATGGTTTGAATTCAATATGGTATGTGGTTGGAAAGTTTGACTTCAATATGGTATGTGACTGGATGGTTTGAATTCAATGTGGTATGTAACTGAATGGTTTGAATTAAATGTGTTATGTAACTTGATGGTTTGAATTCAATATGGTATGTGATTGGAAGGTTTGACTTCAATATGGTATGTGATTGAATGGTTTGAATTCAATGTGGTATATAACTGAATGGTTTAAATTAAATGTGGTATGTAACTTGATGGTTTGAATTCAATATGGTATGTGATTGGAAGGTTTGACTTCAATGTATAAAATTGGATGGTTTGAATTCAATATGGTATGTGATTGGAAGGTTTAACTTCATGTGGTATAAAATTGGGTGGTTTGAATTCAATATGGTATGTGATTGGATGGTTTGAATTCAATGTGTTATGAAACTGGGTGGCTTGAATTCAATGCGGTTTGTAACTGGGTGGTTTGAATTCAATATGGTATAACATTGGACGGTTTGAATTCAATGTGGTATGTGATTGAATGGTTTGAATTCAATGTGTTATGTAACTGGATGGTTTGAATTCAATGCGGTTTGTAACTGTTTGGTTTTAATTCAATGTGGTATAAAATTTGGTGGTTTGAATTCAATTCATGTGACCAAGTGGTTTTAATTTAATGTGTCATTGGATGGTTTGAATTCAGTGTGTGTGACTGGGTTCAACATATGGCATATGTATAACATTTTTTGGTTTAAACTACATGTTATGTGGTTAGATGCTTTAAATTCAACATGGTATGTGATTGAATGGTTTGAATTCAATATGTGTGATTGTGGATGTTTTGAGTTCAACATATGTCATATGTATATGAATAATTGGTTTGAATTCAACATGGCATGTGATTGGATGATTTGAATTAAATGTGTGTGATTGGATGGTTTGAATTGAATGTGTGTGATTGGATGGTTTGAATTCAATGTGTGTGATGAGATGGTTTGAATTGAATGTGTGTGATTGGATGGTTTGAATTCAATGTGTGTGATTGGATGGTTTGAATTCAATGTGGTTTGAATTGAATGTGTGTGATTGGATGGTTTGAATTCAATGTGTGTGATTGGATGGTTTGAGTTCAATATGGTTTGTGATTTGATGGTTTAATTCAGTGTGTACATGTATGATTGAATCTTTCAAATCCAGATATGGATCGTTTAATTGTTTAATTTTTGCTTTGAATCACAAAGTCTGTGTTGTGCAACTGACTTGGCCATTACAGAACTCTATTTTGTCTTTCCTAACAGGGTTCTGCAGCAGGGTTATGGAATGACGAGTTGTGCCAATATTATCTAAAAGCAGTTTGTGAGAAGGACAAAGAGGTGTTACCTCCAACTACACCTGGATCATCCATTGATCTCTGTGATGCAGTAAGTTATATAATGCCACAATTAAAATCTTGTTTACAAACCTAAGATATTATATCTGTGCTAAACTGTTCAGTTAGATGGATCAAAATAATGTACTGAACTTGTAAGCTATAGACATGCTACTTACATTCTTAAATATTTAAATATTGTCGTGGCAACAAACTGTTATAACCATGTGTAAGTACAGACTTGACATGCTACTTACATTGTTAAACATTTGCGTGTTGTCATGACAACAAACTGTTATAACCAAGTGGAGGCAGACTGGACATGCTACTTACATTATTAAACATTTGCATGATTCACAAAAATCATTTGACTTTAGCTTTATATTTATTTGTATTTGTGCTCTTCAGGTCTTATAGTAAACTGACATGTCCTATTAGGAATGAATACATTTTTCCAAAACTGTTTTCTCATTCAGAATATTGTGGCTAGTCTACATGCTGCTATGTTTTCGCAGCATTTTGATTTTTTTAATGATATAAAAAGTAGACGTTACGTATCACCTAATGAGCGTATATTACCGATAGACAGCGATGATCCTCGTCTTTTTCGATATGGTACTCAGAGTGATGTACACAACATGTGTAAAATACATTGTTTTCATGAAATTTAAACATGTGCTGCGGGACATCCACCGCCATTTAAAATGTTGTAATTAGCAGGGGTTTCATTAAGAGCCGGCTGCCGGCCATATGACTTGCTACAAACCCATATTGGTCGTCTACTCTCTGTCCCCGACTGCCTACACCGGCCGGTTTGCGCTGCCGAGAGCCATTTTATTTTTTTGTTGGCCTGTTGTTACAGGATGTTGGCCTGCTATTAAATGCATTTGTGAAACCCCTGATTTAGTCACAACTTTCCTTCCCTTCCCAAACCCGACCCGTTTTGCTTCCTTTTCATTTATTTAAATTAGTACTGATTTTTCTCCCCATCCCTCAAATTATATTTGCTACTAATTTTCTGGTAGATACCATTGTCTTATTTCATTTTTGGAGTTTTACCCTCTATTTGTGTAATGTTTTGTGTATTTTAGGGCAAGGTACTCACAGTTTAACATGTTTTGTGTATTATAGGGCAAGGTACTCACAGTTTAATAAGTTTTGTGTATTATAGGGCAAGATACTCACAGTTTAACATGTTTTGTGTATTATAGGGCAAGCACAGTTTAACATGTTTTGTGTATTATAGGGCAAGGTACTCACAGTTTAATATGTTTTGTGTATTATAGGGCAAGGTACTCACAGTTTAACATGTTTTGTGTATTATAGGGCAAGGTACTCCCAGTTTAACATGTTTTGTGTATTATAGGGCAAGGTACTCACAGTTTAATATGTTTTGTGTATTATAGGGCAAGGTACTCACAGTTTAACATGTTTTGTGTATTATAGGGATGGTTTGGTCATGGCTCTTCTTGTTATAAATTTAACATGATACCAATTCAGTGGAACAGTGCCCAAATAGAATGTGAAACATATCAAGGAAATCTAGTGTCAATCAATGACAAGTGAGTGTTAAATGATAATAAATAAAATGATAAGTGAATAGCTTTCACACTTAGTTATTGAAAGTTTGTACAGGACGGTTGTTTTCTAAATTTGAATGAAAAACTAGTGATAACAAGCAAGACAATAATAACCACTGTGTTTGTGGATATATGTATAATAGGATTGTACAACAGACAAAACTTAGTGAAAGTCTACATGTAGGATTCTAGAGAAATTTTCTCGGCTACAATTTTTTTGTGATTTTAACTCAAATCAAATTTGTGAAATTAAAGTGGTTTGTTTATGATGCCCCTCATTAAAATTATTTTATAATGGCAGAAATATGATTTCTCATTTTGTATTTCAAAGCTTTAACTACTGTTGGATTTTCTTTTCAGCGTTGAACAGTCCTTCTTGAATTCAAAACTGAGTCAGATTTCTAATGGTGAAAGTTACTGGGTTGGATTAAATGATTTAGGTGTTTCTGGAGTGTATGAATGGAGTGATGGACAAAAAGTGACTTACACCAACTGGGGAGTAAATCAACCAGGTCAGTCACTGACAGTTTATGCATCTAATAGATAGTAAATAAAGCTCTTTTAGTTTATATTTATATGTACTTGTTAGTTAATCAAACATCTTAGTTTTCTTGTAGTTTGTATATGTACTAGATAGTTGATCAACAAAGTTATATAGTACATGGTAGTTTATACATTCATTGGGTAGTTCATCAACCTGGTAAGTTTTCTGGTACTTGTACATGTACTGGATAGTTGATCAATCAACTTAGTCAGTGGTAGTTTATACATTCATTGGGTAGTTCATCAACCTGGTAAGTTTTCTGGTACTTGTACATGCACTGGATAGTTGATCAATCAACTTAGTCAGTGGTAGTTTATGCATTCATTGGGTAGTTCATCAACCTGGTAAGTTTTCTGGTACTTGTACATGCACTGGGTAGTTGATCAACCAACTTAGTCAGTGGTAGTTTATGCATTCATCGGGTAGTTCATCAACCAGAGTAGTTTTCTGGTAGTTTCTACAAATGTACATGTACTTTTTTACCTGCTAGGTGGGTTAATGTCTCTTCCCATCAATCAATCTGAGTTTAAAAACCCCAATGCCTGCTGTTTGGGAGAATACAGTGTATTTCTACACTGCTAGTAATTATATGTTATTTTGGCATGCAATAACACCAAGTGGGGGTACCCAATGATAAAATGAGTGCGCTGTTTAACCAAAGCAAATGGAAGTAAATATATCATATATAGCTAACCAAATATGGGCATTTGTGCCCTTGGGCAGATAATTTGACTTTTAGAAGGACAAATTTTCTTTTTTTGTGAGGACACAAACACCCCATATTTTAGCTATTTGTATTACAAGCTTCTCAGCTGATATATTATCAAGGATTTATAAGATTAGGGGGTGCAGCTTTCTTAACAATGTACGATGATGGCCAATGAAATCTCAAAAAAGTGTACTCTGCGAAACATGAAAGTGATCCTGTTTTGTTACATTTTCTTTAACAGAATTGTTATTTGACAATAGCATGGGCAAGGTATTCATACTTTTATTATGTTTTGTTGTTTTAGACTCGCGTACTGGAGATTGTGTTTCCGTAACATCAGGAACACTTGCTGGTCTATGGTATGGCACGCCGTGTGGTGATTCAATGCATTATATATGTGAGCGATTGAAGAATGGATATACTTTGCCACCACCTGAGCCGAAAACTACCCCATCTGATGCAGGCTGTTCAGCTGGGTGGATTGGATATGGTGATAGCTGCTTTCTGGTAAGTATAATTACTTCAATTGAGAGATGCAATAATTAGTCCCTAACGACTTTTTTCCAAGTGTTCATACATCATTTGCTAAAACTTTTGTCACCAATGCATGTCAAGTTAATTTTTTTCAGTTTTGAGGCAAAACTATGTAGTGACTTTTGTGAAAATACTTTCCTTGATCATGAATGCCCTAATCAAACTGTCAAAATTTCTAGCAATGACAATTTATTGAATTACAGTATTAAAAGGAAAAAAATGATTGATTTGACTATCATTGCTGTTTAGATTGAAGAATACAGTCTTGAAGAAGATCGTTTAATGTGGAGTGATGCTTTGGAGCGTTGTCAACAACAGGGTGGTGATTTAGCTAGTTTCCATAGCGCCGAGGAAGAACTACATGTATGGGAGAAATCAGGAGTTAAGTGAGTATGGCAGTAATGATTCATTCTGTTAAAATACTTATTAAAAAAAAGATTTAGTATAACTTGTATAACTTTTATTAATTTTGTGTATATTTCATGGCCCTGACTTGCAACACTATGGAAAACCCAAATTATTGTTTTGTGTGATAAATTTCCATAGCACATTTTATTTAGGATATTCTGAATACTTCTGAATGTTAATTAGTACAACCAGAACAAATTATTTGTTTGTTTTTGCAGTGACTGGGCTAATGCTTTTTGGATAGGATTAAATGATGTTGAAGATGAATCAGGTAAGCTTAGCACTATTTACATGTAGTGTCACATTGGCATCTTATCAGAATTAAGTATCTTTATTCTAAATAAAATAAAGTTACCCATAATGTTACCCATTGTTTATTGGCTCACAAAATTGTGTCATTTGTACCATTAAAACACAATAATTGTGATTTTGAACATTTTTAATGTCACATAAAATTCGATTTAAAAACTAATGGTTAGATAGTTGTCATTTCATTGAAATCTGGGTCACATAAAGGTAACTGTAGAAAATTATGACACACGAAATCACACATAATTCATCAGTGAGAGGCTATCAAAGGGAAGCTTAGCCCCCTCGGATGTGACGTTTTGGACATTTTGCCCTCAACCCCCGGTAAGTTGTCATCTTGTATCGTAATCTCTGAGTTGACAAAAATGGATTTCAAGTAAAAAACCAGAGAATAAATACTGAAAGTTACAGCCAGTGTTGCTTTATAAATTATTGAATTTTTTACACTATTTTAGATGGTTTTTTAGCTCCGCTGTCGACTTTGTCGAGCGGAGCTTATCATATGAGTGATTGTCCGTCGTCGTCTGGCGTCCGTGTCAATGTTTTACTTTTTAGACTTCTTCTTGAAAACTACAAGCCTGAATGCTTTGATACTTGGTGTATATGTACCTTGGGTAGACCTCTCTTAGATTTGTTCATTTTATGGTCATATCTTCAATTCTCTAATTTTGGTGAATATTTTTGTCATTTTTGTTAAAAAGTGATATTTTCAATTTCTTGTTAAAAACTGCAAGTCCAATTGCTTTGATATTACATATATAGGTACTACATGTGGACCACTCTCAAATTTGTTCATTTCATGATATCTTTAATTTTCTAATTTTGGTGAATATTTTTGTCATTTTTGGTAAAAAGTGATATTGTTAAAAACCACAATCATTTATGGTGAAAAATGATATTTTTGAACTCTTGTTGAAAACAGCAAGTCCCATTGCATTGATACTATGTATATTGTTAATTTTCTAATGATCATTTCTGTTCTTTAATTGAAATGTGCATTGCTAACAGCGGAGCTATCTCAGCCGAGAGGCTGCTTGTTTGGAACTTTTTTACAATGTTCAAAATATTTTGCTGAAATATTCGGCGGAATTTCCCAATAATATGTGAAACCATGAGTTATAATTAACTTTCTTATAACTGTATATATGATTTTTCCACCATGTGTAATAAACCAAATTTGATATACAATGAAACCTTTTTACCATCAGATTCATCAACATACATCCATGATCCTCGTCAGCCGTTCAGGCCACTACAGGCCAGTAGCCTACCCATTCGTTTCCAGCATAATCTATCTTCAGTTCTATTCATCCAATTAACCCCTCTTCTATATTGTCTCTCCTTTTCTTTTTCAGTTTTCTTCTCTCGCCATTCCACCAATCGTGTCAATTCCATGCACTTTTTTCTCATTGGTTATCTGCCTTCCTCTCTATGTGACCTGCCCACTCCCACTCCAATGATTTCACCTTCGCTATGATGTCTACAACTTTCATTTGCTCCCTAACCCATTCTCTTCTGGAAAATGCTCTAAATTAAAACCCAGTGAATATGTAAATTTAGCATAGAACACATTATCTAAATGATAAAACCATGAATTAAAACTCACTGAATATGCCTGAAATTGTAAATCAGCAAAATTTAAACCCAATGAAAATTAGTCATTTTACAGTATTCAGCATTGCTCTTTCCATGCTTCTTTGAGCAACTTGAAGTTTGAATGCAAGTTTATTAGACATTGATCATCTTTCTGCATCGTACATGTATGTCATAGCTAGAGTTGCTATATTGTCAATTTTTTTTTTTCTAGACAAACCAGTATAGATTCACTTGTGATAAATAGCTGTAGAATTTCCATAATCATGACTTTTTCATTTAGATTTTCTTAGTACAGCATAAAACAATGCCATATAAATATCGTAAAAGTCCATAAAATCTGTGAAATTTAGTTTTTGGTTATTGGTCAACAACATTATTTCATATTAAATTTTTTTAATTATTTGACTTGATGTATAGGTTTTGTCTGGAGTGATGGATCAGCTGTGAATTATGTAGACTGGCATGATGGTGAACCTAACGGTGGTACACTCGCTAACTGTATTGAGGTGTTCTTTCATGAATCAAAAAGCTGGAATGATCAAGTGTGTGACCGTCCTAGGAACTGGATTTGTAAAATACCAAAAGGTGAGAATTAACTGAAAAGTTGATATTAAAGTAAGAATGCAATTGACGATTCTGATCATGTGATGCAATAGGGATTTGTGTCTGATTAACATTGATATATACATCTCTATAAGTACAATTTTTAACAGTCCTGCATCAATTTTGAAAAGAACAAACTACTTTGGTAGTCCTGAAAAGTTTGTTTTTTTTGAAAAGAAGTTTGTGAGAACTTTATTTCATGAACCTAATATAATTAAATCACAAACATGTTTAATAACTAATTTTGTTTACTAATTTCAGGTGTTCCACCGGTAACTAAATTCCCAGTTCCTGATGCTACAAGATGTGAGTTCATTTTCTTGAAATCCAAGTCTTATAGTTGACCCCTAAAGACCAGATATTCTGGTACTTACTTGGGTGGTCAGCATCATTCCTGTAAAATTCAAGCAGTCAATTGTCATTAAAATCCAAAAATAAATTAACCGTGCTAAAATGGAGGTATATTATTTGAAATAAATGTTTCATACCAGGATACCAGGATGTGTGACCTCTAGTGTTATGATGATGACTATTTTCGCAAATCAGACAGTATGTTATGAGTGTTATCTTTTTGCATATTAACAGTTTTCCCGCCAAAATTTGATGTAGCATTTTGATATTCATTTTTTTGGGCAAATGTTTTGAAAATTATGGAACACTGTAAAATGACTAATTTTCACTGGGTTTAAATTTTGCTGATTTAGCATTTCAGGCATATTCAGTAGGTTCTAAATTCACGGTTTTATCATTTAGATAATGTGTTCTATGCTAAATTTTACATATTCACTGGGTTTTAATTTAGCGCATTTTTTAGTCAGTGAAATAAGCAAAATTAAAACCCAGGGAATAACTAACCCCTTTACAGTAAGTTTTTGTGTGTGTAAGGTACCGGTAATAAAACTTTGCCATGAAATGTAGTGTTAAAGTTTAAAATCTGTTTCAAATTCTAGCCCCTCTGTGTGGTTCCGATTTAGAATGGTATCTGTACAATGACTATTGCTACTATGTTAGTGTGTCATCAAGTGAAGGCCTGGATAGCTGGCAAGACGCTAATAGTTTCTGTAACGCACATGCGTCCTACTTAGCATCCATACACAGTCAAGAAGAGCAGCAGCTTATTCACTATGGTGTAAGTTACATTCTGTTACATACCAATTGCAAAACATTCAATTGATGCAGCAGTGTTTATATCAGTGAATGAGTCCAGTGTATCTTGAATATATCATTTCTATTTGACACAGATTGGATGACTTTTGAATTCCCGCAGATGACACATATTGCATTTTGCAGTACAAATTTACTCTTGTTTTGCTGGAAAAGGATTGAGAAAAAAACAAATTGTCAATGAGCTACATGTATGTGTGTCATTCTGGGTCTTGTGTTTTTAATAGTCAACAATAATATGTTCTGTTTTCCCAATGTTTGTTTTTCGATCACCGGAGACTGTGTTTTTCTTTCAGCTTGGTCAAAGAGGTGCCTGGGCAGGATGGATTGGTCTTAGAGAAAATAGTGCAGCAACTGAATACGTGTGAGTTAATAGTTTGATGGATTCTTCGCAACAAGTAGGACATATTGTTGTCTTATTATATGAGATATTTATTTATTTGACCATATTTATACGAAGTAGGTATTTAGAAAGAATAATGTGATTATAAGGTGATGTTTGAAGACAGTATGCCGCGCATCGACCTCTGCTGCATGACGGTCGATACTCCAGCTGTACTGTCTTCGTGCATACTTTGAGGTATTCTTGTAATAACCTCATATTATTATTACTAGGTCTCATGGCTTTACTAATGCTTAGTTTCATTTGCCATATGTATATTCATAATTTGTTATTATTTGAATATAGATGGAGTGATTCCAGTGCCTTGACGTATACTAACTGGGCGCCAAATGAACCAAATGATGCCCATCAATCAGAACAGTGTGTGGAAATTAGAACATCTGGTAAAGTCATACCTTGGTTATATGCTAATTATAAATGGCTAATAAAATTGTCATTCCACTCATAAAATTGATTACAATATGATTTATATTTAATATTTGATCTTTATAACTTTCTAGGAAATCATGGTGATTTTTTGTCATGGCCATGCATGTTTCTAGCTATTATCACATATCATTGTAAAATTAATTTTTGTTAAAACGGTATTTTGTATGAAATTTATTTATTTATTTATTTATTTATTTATTTATTTATTTATTTATTTATTTATTTATTCATTTTGATTATTATTTATTCATTCATTTTGATTATTTATTTATTCATTCATTCATTCATTCATTCATTCATTTATTTATTTATTTATTTATTTATTTATTTATTTATTTATTTATTCATTTTGATTATTATTTATTTATTTATTTACAAGATGGTATGTGGAATGACAATAACTGTGGTGATCGATTGTCATTTGCATGCAAGAAACATATGAGTGATATAAACCCGATTACATCAGCAGTAACTACCCCTGTTTATGATGCGTATTGTCCACCGGGATTTCTGCAACATAATAACAAGTGTTACTCCTTCCATGGACAATCAGCATCCGATGTTGTTGATTGGGACACTGCGCGGGAAAGATGCCGAAATGATGGCGGCGATCTGGCTACAATTCATAGCAAGGAACAGCAAGGTAAATTGTTAGCACTATACAGTCAAACCTGTTAGTGACCTCCTTTCTATAAGAACCATCTGTCTGTAATACAGTACCCATTTGTAGGCAGTTCCTAAAATAACATACTATGAATAAACTGTGTATAACGACCACCTGTCTTATGTGGCCACCCTTTCCTCAATACTTATGCAGATTCACCTTTGTTTAGAGACAATTAAAAAATATTAATCATAATTCTATTTAAAAAAAAAATTCAAGTCAAATTTATTTGATTTTTATCAATTCAAATAATTGTGTTTTTGTTCCAACAGCTCCATCTCATTATTTTCTGGACAAATATTATATCAAATGTATTATCTATAAAGAAATAATCCAACCTCCATAAAAAGACCACCAATCTGTAACGCCCACTTTATCTATCCAAAGGTTTAACTGTTTAACCTGTGTAAAAACCTAATGTACCATATTAATTTAAAACACATGTTTTATACAAGTAGTAATACTCACTATGATAACCATTTTAACTGAATATGCAATTTCATTCTGTTGTAATTACAGCATACATTACAAGTCGTCTTCGTGACATTGATTACGCTATGTGGATTGGTCTTAACGATGTAGCTTGGGAAGGTCAGTTCCGATGGTCTGATGGATCCGAGGTCAAATTCGTCAATTGGGCAGAAGGTGAACCTAATGGTGGAGATGTGGTTAGTACTGGTTCTCTTCCTTTGTTATATGTATAAATTTACAAATTCTACAACCCATGCAGCCTGACCATCAAATATGCTCATCCCAGATTTAATTGAACTCATTTGATAAATATGATGGAAATAAATGCAACAGTGTTTGGTTTCTTCACTCAATAAGTGATTTTTCGTTTACTGTGAGATCTCAGGTATTGCGTGAGAGGCGTAGACCAAATGTTACCTGTGAAAATCAAATGATATTATTTTGAACTTGAATATCAATGGCGAACTGCATATCTTTTAGAAAGGATTATGGTGTTTAGGTACTCGTACATCATCAAAGTTTATCATCAAATGTCCATCATTAAGTGTACAAGTACCCAAAAATATTTTTGCATGCGTTAAATCATATGTGATGTTTTAACACCGCTATGACACTATGATGCCGGTCACTGGTAGCATAGTGGTTGTTGCTTCAGATTCATGATCGGTAGACCCAAATTCAAATCCTACCTTAGGCTGAACACCTAAGTGTGCCACCGACTCAATGGGAAGGCCAATTCCACTGGCCGAGATTCATTCTCTAACAAATGCGACTTTGATGGAACCTTGGTTAAGGTCCACAGATGCTTGTGTTAAATTGCATTAGATTGCCACTATGGTTTTTGCTTGTCCTGTTTTAAAGATCAATTTCACGCATAATGTGGGGTCATACAGTGAAATGGTCTATTGAAATGAATTAATCTGTGTAAAACTTTTTTCCTATGTAAAAATTTCTGATCTAACATCAGAAATAATTATTTAATCATGAATTTGATATGACTATACTTTCAGTATTTAGTTTTCAGAGTTCTTTATATATTGTAACCATGCATTCATGTGTCATTTCAGGAAGATTGTACAGAGTTGCATTTCCGTGCGTATGGCGGTCTGTGGAATGACGCTGCATGTAGCAGTACGGCCGGTTATATATGCCAAGCTGATAAAGGTATAAATGTCCTTGCTATGTTATTTTGTTAATAAATATCACCGTTGTGCATCTTGACTTTATTGTGTATGCAAATAGGATTTCCATAACACAATATTGCATGTTTTGAAATATTTTGATGTTTATAAAAACTAGTAATCATGAAAACTACATATAACCCGTCCCACAGACTGTGGTTCCTTTGAGCATGCATAATTATAATGAATATCAACAAAATTGGCTTTGAACTTCTTCCATTATAGTTTACAAATTTCCCTGAAATCATTGTGATCTCCATATTTTTTTAAAAATGGTATTCATTCTTGTACAAATAATATGTAGTATAATATTATTAAATCTTCTCTGGATATAGAAAGTGAAAACGCTCATACATCTCTTATTAAAAAACAAACAAAAAACATAGAAAAAAAATGACATAGAAATATTCAGCATAAATGTGTGTCAGATTATTAAAGAACTACAGCGATTCTTTTGTCACTTTTAGTATAAAGATAAGTATAGAGTAAAAAAAAACATGTTATATCACTTGTTTTATTAATTCGCATACTATAACCAAGTACGTGTTCTTTCAACTCTTCAGACTCCTCGTATTCTCCATCCGTTACCACACCCAATTACTGTAAACCTGGTTACATTCAATACTGGAATGCTTGTTATAAAGTTCTATCTGGATCCCATACATTTAATGGAGCTCAGTCGTCATGCCAACAAGACTCGACAGAATTAGTCAGTATAATGGATGTGTATGAGAATGCGTTTATAGAATACCATATGTTATCAATCGGTAGTCCATTCTGGATTGGATTAAATGATCTAGAGGTAAGTAATAAACAACCAGGTATACAGGATTGGATTGGATTAAATGACTTAGAGGTAAGTAATAAACAACCATGTATACAGGATTGGATTAAATGACTTAGAGGTAAGTAATAAACAACCAGGTATACAGGATTGGATTAAATGACTTAGAGGTTAGTAAAAAACAACCAGGTATACATGATTGGATTAAATGACTTAGAGGTAAGTAATAAACAACCAGGTATACAGGATTGGATTAAATGACTTAGAGGTTAGTAAAAAACAACCAGGTATACATGATTGGATTAAATGACTTAGAGGTAAGTAATAAACAACCAGGTATATATGATTGGATTAAATGACTTAGAGGTAAGTAAAAAACAACCACGTATACAGGATTGGATTGGATTAAATGACTTAGAGGTAAGTAATAAACAACCAGGTATACAGGATTGGATTAAATGACTTAGAGGTAAATAAAAAAACAACCACGTATACAGGATTGGATTAGATTAAATGACTTAGAGGTAAGTAATAAACAACCAGGTATACATGATTGGATTAAATGACTTAGAGGTAAGTAATAAACAACCATGTATACATGATTGGATTAAATGACTTAGAGGAAAGTAATAAACAACCAGGTATACATGATTGGATTAAATGACTTAGAGGAAAGTAATAAACAACCAGGTATACATGATTGGATTAAATGACCTGGAGGTAAGTAATAAACAACCAGGTATACATGATTGGATTAAATGACTTAGAGGTAAGTAATAAACAACCATGTATACAGGATTGAATTGGATTAAATGACTTAGAGGTAAGTAATAAACAACCATGTATACAGGATTGGATTAAATGACTTAGAGGTAAGTAATAAACAACCAGGCATACAGGATTGGATTAAATGACTTAGAGGTAAGTAATAAACAACCAGGTATACAGGATTAGATTAAATGACTTAGAGGTAAATAAAAAAACAACCACGTATACAGGATTGGATTGGATTAAATGACTTAGAGGTAAGTAATAAACAACCAGGTATACAGGATTGGATTAAATGACTTAGAGGTAAATAAAAAACAACCAGGTATACAGGATTGGATTAGATTAAATGACTTAGAGGTAAGTAATAAACAACCAGGTATACAGGATTGGATTAAATGACTTAGAGGTAAATAAAAAACAACCAGGTATACAGGATTGAATTGGATTAAATGACTTAGAGGTAAGTAATAAACAACCATGTATACAGGATTGGATTAAATGACTTAGAGGTTAGTAAAAAACAACCAGGTATACAGGATTGGATTGGATTGGATTAAATGACTTAGAGGTAAGTAATAAACAACCAGGTATACAGGATTGGATTAATTAATCCATCACATTTCTTTGAAAATTGGTTCATAGATGCTGTGGGGTAATCCATAGTATTATAATTATTAGTATTATAATGAAAAACATGCATAATGATTATCTAATTATTATTAACCAATTTCTGGTATTGGTATCTCAAAAAATCAGATTTAAATTGGACTTGTGGTAGAGGTGCTCTGGAATAAATTAGACTGAAAACCACACAAAACTACCGGTATATGTATTTTCTGTATGTATTATAATTCAATAATGTGGGTCACATTGTTTTCACGTTGTACATCTCAAATAGAAGATGAATATTTTTTATATGTCTACAATACTTGCAGCAAATGCTAGTTCTTTTTTAAGCTTTTTTTGATTTCAATTATTTTTCCTTCTGTCTCAGACACAATCAATCTAAAAAAAAAAAAAATTTCATTTCTGGCAAAAAGTAATCTTTAAATCAGAGAATTACATTCATGGTACCAATGTGACCTTGCACATTGATACCAATTCTTATTGTGGTGTGAAACATGTATTTTTTTATTCACAGTCTGATGGTGTGTATAAATGGACGGATGGTAGTCCTGTGTTATTTACTGCATGGGGAGATGCTGAACCTAGTAAAGATCCATATGAGGGATGTGTTCAGATGACAACGCAGGGTCCGTGGGATGATACTGACTGCTCACTTGGCTCAGCCGCTATGTGTAAATACTGGACTGGTATGTTCAATTGTATCTCGATATAGAATTTAGAAAATTTTAAAAAAGATGATAAACATGAAAAGGGAGACCACATTTGTTCTATTTACATCTCCAAGTATGCATTTACTGTATATTTTATCATAATTTTGATCATAGATTTTTGAATATTCAGTACATGCGCTACTATGAATTTTTATATGACGTTTAAATTTGTAAGTAAGTAAGTAAGTAAATCTTTATTGCTATCGTATCCCATTTGAGATCTTGACATAAAATACAATAAAGTCAAATACATGTAATAATAAAAAATAAAAAAA